TACAAAGCTGGGAGAGCCCCTGAGGGGAGGGGAGTCTGAAATGAAAGGGTGGCAGGAGAGAAAGAGGTTCCTGTGGCAAGCCCTAGAGAGGATCAAACCTAGGCAGATGGCTAGGAGGTAGACTGAGAATGAGGATCCAGCCAGTGGGAAAATTGGAATAGGTAGAAGGGTAGCCCAGGAGGGATGGAAGACCCTTTTGTTTTGTCTCTCTTTTGAGTTTAAGTTTACGTTTGTTGTCAATGGCCTGCCTGTGGGTGCTGAGAGAGATGGTTGAGTGTCAAGAGCAGTGGTGAGAAACCTGCAGTCAGTGGTGGGAACGGCGAACCGGGGCCACTGGGAGCTGTGGGCAGCCATGCCTGCGGACGGTCAATGTAAACAAACTGTCTCACAGCACACCAGCGGATTACCCTGACGGGCCATGTGTGGCCCGTGGGCTGCAGGTTGCCCACTACTGATCAAGAGCCTCTCTGAAGGGACAATAGGCCTGAGGCAGAAAGCCTCAAGATAAGATTGATTAAAGAGAGACCTGGAAAGTTCAGGTACAAGGGGATTAAAGATCCCAGAGGAAAGTGAGAAAGGGTGAGTGGTGCCATGGTTGGCTCCTAAGAGGGATGAGCAGTGGAGGTGGATCCTACTACAAAAACTTTCCTGTGTAGACAAAGTCATTGTCTTGATCCCCTCAAGCAAATACTGTAAAATTTGTTGGATGTGAAAAATTGATGTTTTTAAACTTATTTTGCCAATCATCTGGGACAGACTTTCATCAGTCTCTGGAGGGAAAATGAGGTACAAAAAATAAGTACAAGACCTAATCTAATAAAACACTCTAGTGAAATATGTTGTCTTTTGTGTTTTCTAAGGCTATTTCATTTATACAATACTGAAATGCCAGTAATTCTATACCCTTCCCAGCAACAGTTATATTACATTTATTCTGTGCTGCCTAAATCAAGGAGGCTGCCCTTTCTGAAATAGTAATACTTTTCTAAAAAGACAGGCTCTGATTTCAGGAGATAATGCTTCCAGAAATGTCACTCAGCGAGCTGGTTAAAAATGGAAAAATACGTCAAATGTTGAAGGTGTTTCCATTTCACAGGGTTTGTGAAACACATTTTTATTTTTTGTAACGTTTTCATCAAAATAGTGATATGTTTTGTATCTGAAAACCCAGAGAAAATGAGAAATTTCCACTAGCTTCAATTTAAAAAAAAAATCATATGAAAAATGTTGAAAAGGTCAGCAGTTTCGTTTTGAAAAAGGCCATTTGTCAATGAAAATACTTGCCACTCAAAACCTCTCACTTAGCCTGATTTCTGGGCTTGTACTTGGATATTAAGATGTACCCAGTAAGGGCTAGGTTATGGCAGTTACTGCACACATGGGTGCAGGGAGCTGCATGGAATCACTGCACCCTATAAGGAGCACTGGAGAGATTGTACCAAGAACAGTCTTTCCCCACACTGTTTCTTATGCAATCTACTCCATCAATAGCTCTTGCCAAATATACTCCCTGTAAAATATGCTGGTTTCCGCACTGTGATGACTTGTGTATGTTAGTTCATAATACAGTCTAGACCAGAGCTTCTCAATCTATCTGATGTGGGGGACCGGCAATTTTTTTTTCCAGTGTGCGCGCAGACTGGCAGCTGATGGTTCGCGGACCGGCACTGGTCAGCGGACCACCACTGTGAGTAGCACTGGTTTAGAAGACCGTTGTGCTGCTTTTTGTTGAAAGACTTATTTCTCCCATGTATGCACATGAATTACTTCTTTTAATAGTAAAGTTGTTCATCTAAAGTAGCCTCTGAACATTAATTCCCTCTGGAATAATGTAGCTGTTTATTTTCTGGTGCAGTTGCTTTCAGTCGCATCCTCTTGGTTAGTAATATGTGACTTTTTTTTTATGTTGTGTGACAATGCAGTTACATAATGAGAGAGAACAGGCTGCAGGGAATTCCAGCATGGGTTTGCCAATAAACCGCACAGCTAAAATCCACAGTAAATAAATTATTTCCTACTTTCCAGCACACACACACAGATGAATCACTTCCCAGTGGATTGGAATTACATTTAAGACAGTAATATGTAGACTATATATTTTCGAAAACAAGATGGGGGGAGGGATAGCTCAGTGGTTTGAGCATTGGTCTGCTAAACCTAGGGTTGTGAGCTCAATCCTTGAGGAGGCCATTTAGGGATCTGGGGCGAAAATTGGGGATTGGTCCTGCTTTGAGCAGGGGGTTGGACTAGATGACCTCCTGAGGTCCCTTCCAATTCTATGATTCTAAGATAGAATATGATCAAAAAGACTCCAAAAGGAAAAACTCTGCCATTCAATGATTATCTACGCAGTGAACTACAATTTACAAAATCCTTTGCAGAATATTTATGCTTGGTTGAGCCAAAACTGATTATAGCTAATCCTCTGGTAGAACGAGAAATGGAGAAATTGATGCCAATGTAGTGAAGATGCTCAACAAACAGAAAGTACAAACAAATGTAGCTGCACCTGGATTTGTACTGGTTCAGCACTATGTGGAATTCTTTTTTAAAAATTCATCAGGAATACAAACCTCCCCGTTTGTTTACTGCACACATTTGCAGCTGGCTGTGGGGTCCAACAAGTGAGAAGCAGAGAATGAATGAATCCAAATGTAAAACTCTGAATCTAATGTAAAACACTGTGAAACATGCTGTTCATGTTATTTTTATATAGAAAGAGAACTGGTTCAAATCAAATAAAACCAACTCTGTGCAAAATTCTGTCCCATCCCAACAGAACCTTTTTTTGAGTTTTAAAATAAGTTTAGTTAATTTTTAGGTGCTTTTCATTTTCACATGCTTCTGCATTTTCTGGCTTCAGAGGGGTAGCCATGTTAGTCTGGATCTGTAAAAGCAGCAAATATTCCTGTGGCACCTTATAGACTAACAGACGTATTGGAGCATGAGTGGATATTCATCCATGAAAGCTCATGCTCCAATACGTCTGTTAGTCTATAAGGTGCCACAGGACTCTTGGCTGCATTTTCTGGTTGTTCCTGGGAACATCAATGCCAAAAAAACACTGTACTTAATTTTTTCAAAGTAAATTGATTGCTTGTGTCTATTTACATATGGCCCTCAACACCATAGTGTCTGAGAACCTCACCATTAATGGATTTTTATCCTCATGACATTCCTGTTGGATGAAGAATCCCCGATTTTAAATATTGGATATAACGGCACAGGGTAGACCAAGGAACACACAGAAAACTTGTGGCTGGAGGCAGGAGTTAAGCCCAGGTGTCACAGTCCAGTGCCAATCACTAGACCGTTATTCCTGCTCTTGGTTTTCAGCCCTCTAATATCCTCCGATTAGCCACAGAACAGGAACAACAGAGGCAGCAACCGTGCCTATTCTCCAGGCCACAACCCTAGTACAGGGCTTCAAAGATAGTTAAGTTCCAATCACCCTTCAGACTTTCCTTTTCGGTTGGGACTACTGAAAATATCAATGACATGACATGGGACAGCTGTCCATGAGGACATGGTTAGAGACTGTTTCAGTATACAGTACTAGCACTAACCTGCAAAAACCAGTTAACTGTTACTCATTGTCAATCCAGAAACCAAAGTATAAAACGCAGAGGGCAAAAATATCTGCAGGGAATCTAATATACTTCTTGCACACTATAGTGGATGTGAAAAATACACACCGTACCTGCAAAAGGACTTGACCCTGTATTCCAAAAATGCCCACTGAGTTACACCTTCTTCAATCAATACTTAGTTGATCCCACTCAGTTTCCTTGTCTCAAATAAGCCAAAGGAGCTGTTGTTGACTTAATATTGGAAGGTCTGTTATAGATAGTAGTAGTGTCTGTGCCCCGGGCTGATCCAGTATTGTGATATCCCTTACCTGAAGTTAAAGTTTGTGAATCTATGCCATGCTGTGAAAAGAAGAAACTATAAATACTGGCAAAGGAGTGAAAAGCCAGTTTTAAAAATAACATTTCTTGACACTGTTTTCAATATAATTTTCCTTTGCTGTGTCACTTAACTTTTACTGTATGGCAAATGGTGCCTCTTTTGCTCTTTATACAACATACATAATAGGAAGGAATGCACAGTAAGGACCAATTACCATGTTTACTAACCACATGTGGCATGCAAGGCTTACCTACCCCTACACACTGCTGCTCTGGCAGGGTTCTGGTGGCTTCACTTGCTTCTGACACACAGAAGAAAGACAGTGCCAATAGAGGGCTCACGGACTATTTAAAGGGATACTACCCACTTCCTATACACTACAGCAAGAGACTAAAAGAATTAGTATTTGGGGTCTGTTATTTTCTTATCTGCAGTCATTTGACTCCTGATGACTTAGTATGCATACTATTAGGGATATTATAAAAAATCCCCAAGTTCTGTTTCTGATTAATTGAATCACTGAAAAGGACAGAGTGATTTCTTGTTAATATATTTCTCAGCTGACTCCAAGGTTGCGTCCTGCTTACATGTGCATCATTTGCATTACTAGCTACAAGTAAAGCAAAGCTTAATTTCACGGGACAGTTCAGAGGAACTCAAAACACTAATGCTTCACACTAAAGATCATGACAACAAATGTACTACAACACTCGTTTGTTCAGACACTTTGTGACATTTAAATGTATTTGACTAACATGAACAAAGGTACATGCCCACTTCAAAGGCATTTTTCTTTACCATGTCCATCTAGGAGTAATCCAGTTACAAAATGAAATGGAGTAGAGGAAACCTTTGCTAAGACAAAGCCAACAGTAATGTTAAATATTTAACAGCCCCCAGAGAGTCTGTTTAGTTTTTTTTTTCTTTCAAAAAAGTCCAATGTGTGTTGAAAGATTTGTAAACAGAGTGAAAGACGCTGTTATTTTTAATAGAAAAAGCTGAATCTCTATCTTAAAGTCATAACAACTCGTCTTGAAACATTCTCATGAGAAAACCTGGAATTGAACCAATTTACTCCAAAAAAGACTTACAATTGAAGCTGATTCAATGGAAGACAGGTAAGAAGGATGCAGATGCAGCATAAGTAGTCAGAAAATTAAAGGTCTGCTCTTGCCTTTGTGCTGCTTCTTGTTTGACAGGTTTCCAGAAAATGGCAAAGCAGACACCGTGGCACATTCATGAGTACACAGTCTGACATGGAACTTACGCTAAATTTAGCATCTTCCAGATAACAACTCAAAGAACAACATTGGCAAAAAACTCAAACAGATTTCTTTTAAAGCTCTCATCAGCAATTTTGTGACAGGAATTCATTTCATCATAATATTGTGTCAGCAGTCCTTGACGTGATCTTTCCGGGGGGTCTTTACTGCTTTTTGACTGGCTTTCTTTGGTTAGCCCTGGGTCAGGGCAGTTCTTGGCTCCTGACCTCTAATTAGGCCTAGTGGCCTGCTTTGATCCTTTTGGACTGTGTTTCTAGAGGCAGCTTGGTGCAGGGATGTTGCCCCTTTGCTGTCTCAGGCGTCTCTAGACCACCACTTTTGGGTCCTCAGCCCATCTTCTTCTGGGTATCTGGAGCTGTCATTCCCTCAATAGCAGGTCCACAAATGGTTTGAACAACCATATAGTCCTCCATGAGGTGGGTGGCCTCAGTTAGGGTTACCGGGCAGAGCCTACAAACCCAGTCTCAGCTGGTGGATGGAAGGATCTGTACAAACTGTTCTAGGTCAATGAATTCAGATATCTAGATTCCCATTTGAGTCTCTGGTTTTAACCAACACCAGCAGAAGACCTTAAACCTTTCAGTGACTGTCCGAGGTTATGCCTTTGGGAGGGGCGGGGTTACACTTTTGGCAAAAACGCCGGCGGTAGGCTTCTTCGTCTAGGCATAGCCTGTCTAATATGGCTGTCTTCACATGCTCATAGTCTTGGCCTGCAATGTTGTTGAGTTCCTAGTATGCAGCTTGGGCGTCCCCGATGAAAAGTGGGGCGAGGCGGATCGCACCCTGAGCCTGGGGCCAATGTGAAGCTGTGGCTTCCTTTTTGAAGGTTATCAGGAATGATTCTGGGTCATTGTCTGTTGTCATCTTAGGGATCATCAAGACTGGAGTGGTTCCCTGAATTAAGGGTGATGCATTTCCCTTCGGGGCAGAACTCGTGTGGGGGGCGGGGCGTAGCAGTTCGTACTAGCTCTGCTGTCTGTTGTAACTACTGTTGCTGATGGGCTGTCATCTGTTCAAACAGCTGTTATTGCCTCTGTTGTTGGGTTTGTGAGACAGCCTGCCATTGCAGGAGTTTATTCACCCCTATAGTTCTCTGGAATATATGAAAGAAATAATTTTTTTTTGTTATTTTTGTTTTGCTTCCCTTCTCTGTAGGGAAATTCAAGGGCACAAACTCACTTCTGGTACTACATTGTCAGTGGTCCTTGATGTGGTCTGTCAGGGGGTCTCTGCTGTTCCCTGACTGGCTTTCTTTGGTTAACTCCTGGTCAGCGTAGTTCTTGCCCCAACCTCTAATTAGGTCTACTAGTCTGCTTTGATCCCTTTAGGCTGTGTTTCTGGAGTCAGCCTGGAGCTATGCATGTTGGGCCTTCACTGTCCCAAACCTTTTTTCCTCCCCTCCTTCTCTGAGCTCTCTCCTTTTATAGCTGGCCTTGTTACCCTTATTGGTTGCAGCTGAGGATGCCTGCCTCCATGATTGGCAGTTGTGACAGCTGAGTGGGGGTGTGGTTATGCTCTTTGCCTGTCGGTAGGAGAGGCTCCCCTCCCCCTTCTGCCTTTACTCAGTGTGTGGTTTGCAGACCCAATTATATGTTGTCACAAATATTTTGGGGGTAGATATGAGGGAGCAGGTTTGGCTGCTGAATTAAGCCTATGTACTCAATATGACAGAATTTGATTGTCAAAATAGAAGAGAAATATGAAAAACTCTACAAGAAAAAATTGTAGACACATGAAAAGCATTGGGCTAAATAATGTTTATGACAATTACCTTATTTGCCTTTCATTTTTTAAACAATGGTGAGATGCGTAGTGTTAGAGAGCTTTTTGGTTAAAATGCTCTTTTCCTTTTCAGAGCTATCATGGTTCAAAATGTCCTGTGATGCAGAATTCTGTCAAAAATGGGTCAAGCATGAACTAAAGGTTCAAAGGGTGTTCTCATACAGAAAATCAAAGATGGCTTTGTGATAGTGGCTGTTTCAAGGTAATAATTGTTTTTACTATCTTCCACAGATATTGTTTTGCTCTTAAAAGGGTTCTGTATGATTAAATGTGAAAATCTTCAATACCAGAAGTTCATTAATCACTGAAACCATTAATTGAGGATCCAAAATGATCGATACATTTTGCAGAACTAATACATTAGCTATTAGATTCACACAAAAGTGGAAATAATCTCTCACACACACAAACAGATTAAATGGTTTGTTAAAGTACATTTAAGATACTTATGTATCTGCACATTTAGGGAATGTCTTCACTACAAAGATATGTCGATTTAAGTTATGTCAACATACAGCCACCACAATAATTAAATTGCATGAGGCATACATTTAAGAACATAAGAACGGCCATACTGGATCAGACCAAACATCTATCTAGACCAATATCAGGTTTCAGAGTAACAGCCGTGTTAGTCTGTATTCGCAAAAAGAAAAGGAGTACTTGTGGCACCTTAGAGACTAACCAATTTATTTGAGCATGAGCTTTCGTGAGCTACAGCTCACTTCATTGGATGCATACCATGGAAACTGCAGCAGACTTTATATACACACAGAGAACATGAAACAATACCTCCTCCCACCCCACTGTCCTGCTGGTAATAGCTTATCTAAAGTGATCATCAAGTTGGGCCATTTCCAGCACAAATCCAGGTTTTCTCACCCTCCACCCCCCGCCCCACAAACTCACTCTCCTGCTGGTAATAGCCCATCCAAAGTGACAACTTTCTACACAATGTGCATGATAATCAAGTTGGGCCATTTCCTGCACAAATCCAGATTCTCTCACCCCCTCACCCCCCTCCAAAAAACACACGCACAAACTCACTATCCTGCTGGTAATAGCTCATCCAAAGTGACCACTCTCCCTACAATGTGCATGATAATCAAGATGGGCCATTTCCAGCACAAATCCAGGTTTTCTCACCTCCCCACCACCATACACACACACAAACTCACTCTCCTGCTGGTAATAGCTCGTCCAAAGTGACCACTCTCCCTACAATGTGCATGGTAATCAAGGTGGGCCATGTCCAGCACAAATCCAGGCTTTCTCACCCCCCCACTTTTTTTCCCCGGGGACACACACACACACACACACAAACTCACTCTTCTGCTGGCAATAGCTCATCCAAACTGACCACTCTTCAAGTTTAAATCTGATCCCACTGAGAGTTACCAAAAGCAACTACAGCATTTGCTCAAGAAACTTCCTGAAAAAGCACAAGATCAAATCCACACAGACACACCCCTGGAACCCCGACCTGGGATATTCTATCTACTACCCAAGATCCATAAACCTGGAAATCCTGGGCGCCCCATCATCTCAGGCATTGGCACCCTGACAGCAGGATTGTCTGGCTATGTAGACTCCCTCTTCAGGCCCTACGCTACCAGCACTCCCAGCTACCTTCGAGACACCACTGACTTCCTGAGGAAACTTCAATCCATCGGTGATCTTCCTGATAACACCATCCTGGCCACTATGTAGAAGCCCTCTACACCAACATTCCACACAAAGATGGACTACAAGCCGTCAAGAACACTATCCCCGATAATGTCACGGCTAACCTGGTGGCTGAACTTTGTGACTTTGTCCTTACCCATAACTATTTTACATTTGGGGACAATGTATACCTTCAGATCAGCGGCACTGCTATGGGTACCCGCATGGCCCCACAGTATGCCAACATTTTTATGGCTGATTTAGAACAACGCTTCCTCAGCTCTCGTCCCCTAAAGCCCCTACTCTACTTGCGCTATATTGATGACATCATCATCATCTGGACCCATGGAAAAGAAGCCCTTGAGGAATTCCACCATGATTTCAACAACTTCCATCCCACCATCAACCTCAGCCTGGTCCAGTCCACACAAGAGATCCACTTCCTGGACACTACAGTGCTAATAAACAATGGTCACGTAAACACCACCCTATACTGGAAACCTACTGACCGCTATTCCTACCTACATGCCTCCAGCTTTCACCCTGACCACACCACACGATCCATCGTCTACAGCCAAGCTCTGCGATACAACCGCATTTGCTCCAACCCCTCAGACAGAGACAAACACCTACAAGATCTCTGTCAAGCTTTCTTACAACTACAGTACCCGCCTGCGGAAGTAAAGAAACAGATTGATAGAGCCAGAAGAGTTCCCAGAAGTTACCTACTACAGGACAGGCCTAACAAAGAAAATAACAGAACGCCACTAGCCGTCACCTTCAACCCCCAACTAAAACCCCTCCAACGCATTATTAAGGATCTACAACCTATCCTAAAGGATGACCCAACACTCTCACAAATCTTGGGAGACAGGCCAGTCCTTGCCTACGGACAGCCCCGCAATCTGAAGCAAATACTCACCAACAACCACATACCACACAACAGAACCACTAACCCAGGAACTTATCCTTGCAACAAAGCCCGTTGCCAACTGTGCCCACATATCTATTCAGGGGACACCATCACAGGGCCTAATAACATCAGCCACACTATCAGAGGCTCGTTCACCTGCACATCCACCAATGTGATATATGCCATCATGTGCGAGCAATGCCCCTCTGCCTTTTACATTGGTCAAACTGGACAGTCTCTACGTAAAAGAATAAATGGACACAAATCAGATGTCAAGAATTATAACATTCATAAACCAGTGGGAGAACACTTCAATCTCTCTGGTCACTCAATCACAGACATGAAGGTCGCTATCTTAAAACAAAAAAACTTCAAATCCAGACTCCAGCGAGAAACTGCTGAATTGGAATTCATTTGCAAATTGGATACTATTAATTTAGGCTTAAATAGAGACTGGGAGTGGCTAAGTCATTATGCAAGGTAGCCTATTTCCCCTTGTTTTTTCCTACCCCCCCCCCAGACGT